TGATCTGCCTGAAATATAGATATTCCAGCTTTCTTTTGATTAGTGTTAGCATGTGTATCTTCTACATTCCTTTACTATTAGTCTATAGCTGTCTTGACATTTAAAGCAGAAAACCAGCAAAGGCATAGCTGAACTCAACAATACCATCAATCAACCAGATATACCTGACATCTACTAACAACTTCATCCAGAAACAGGAGAATACACATTCTTTCCAAGCTCATGCGAACATACACCAAATAGGCCACATTCTGTACTACAAAACACAATWTACTAAGTTTAAGGAAATAGAAATAATTCAATGTATGCTCTCAGATCACATTAGAAATCAGTAACAGAAAAATGGTGTTATATTATTTCATCACTGTGACCAAAGACTAGACAGGAACAACTTAAAGGAGGAAAAGTTCATTTTGGCTCAGAGTTTCAGAGTTCAATCCATGGTTGTGCAACTCCCATAGCTCTGGGCCCAAGGAAATGCAGAACATCATGACATAAAGGCATGGGAGGAGAAAGCTACTCAGAACACTACAACCAGGAAGCAGGGAGGTGGGGTAGGGGGAGAGTGCTTCTCTCACCAAGAACAAAATATAAACCTCAAAATCACACCCCAGTGACCTATGTCTTTCAGTCACACCCTACCTGCCTACAGCTACAACCCAGTTAATTCATATCCATGGATTAATTCACCATTAGGTTACAACTCTCATATTATAATCATTTCACCTCTGAACATTCTTGTTTTATCTCACACATGACCTTGTGGAGACACTTCATATATAAATCATAACAGATGGTTGGTAAACAACAAAATACCCAAAGTTTAAACAAGAAACTTCTAAGTAATACTTAGGCCAAAGAAGAAATCTCAAGAGAAAATTAAAAATATGCTGAACTAAATGAAAATTCAATTTACTGAATCTCAGGATGCAGCAAAAGCAGTGATTAGAAGGAAATGTATGGCACTGAATGCATACATTAGAATAAATCCAAACTCAATAAATGCTTCCACCTCAGCAAATTTGAAAAATAAAAGTAAATTAAATACGATGTAATCAATGAAAGGAAATAACAAAAAAATAGAGCAGGAGTCAATGAATTTGAAAACAGGAATTCAATAGAGAAAACGAAAAGAAATCAATAAAACTAAAAGCTGCTTCTTTGAAAAGATCAACAAAATCAGTAAGCCTCTACTAAGGCTAATTAAGAAAAACTAGACATGACAAACTTTATTTATATGCCAATGCTCCTCAAATTATTTTATGAAATATAAAGGTATAGAACACTTCCAAATTCAAACTATGAGACCAGTATCACCTGATATCAAAACCAGATATCAAGAAAAGAAAACTATAGATGTCTTTTGAAATGAAAGCAGGGACATCACTACAGATCTTTTCAGCATTAACAAGAATAGTAAAAGAATACTATGAACCAAGGCTGAGACAGGAGGATCCCGAGTTCAAAGCCAATCTCAGCAACTTGGCAAGGCTATAAGTAACTTAGCAGACCCTATCTCTAAGTAAAATATATTTAAAAAAGAATACTGTAATACAAGTCTATGCCCACAAATTTAATAACCTAGACGAAATGAAACAATTATTTTAAATACACCATCTGCCAAAACTCTCAAAAGAAGAAGTAAKACAATCTGAATAGGCCTGTATTTGGTTAAAAGACCTAGTTAAAACAAAAACAAAAAAACAACTGACCATTTTCTCTCATTTAAAAATCCTAAACAAGGGGCTGGGGCTGTAGCTCAGTGGTAGAGCACTTGCCTTGCACATGTGAGGCACAAGGTTCAATCCCCAGCACCACATAAAAATAAATAAAGATATGATGTCCATCTACAACAACAACAACAACAACAACAAAAATATTTTTAAGAAATCATCAACAAAATACTAGCAAATTAAATTTAAAAACTTATAAAAGTAAATATGAACATAGTCAAATGAGATTTATTCCAGGTATTTAAGGCTCATTCAACATTCAAAAACCAATGTAAATTCCAATACATCAACAGGCTAAAGAAGAAAAATAACATGATAATATCAATAAACATGGAAAAGGGGTTTGACAAAATCTAATACTCATTCTTGATAGTAATAAAAGTTTAAAAAAACTCAGCAAACTAATAATAGAAGGGAACTTTCTCAAATTGGAATTTGTTTTTGTAAATAAGGAATATTTACAAAAACTCTAGAGCTGACATCATACTTAATGATTACAAACTGGAAGCTTTTCTGCTAAGATCAGGAACAAAGATCAGGAGCCACTTCTTCTCAAAATTATATTAGAARCCCTAGCTAATGCAACAAAACAAGAAAAATAAATGTTATACAGATAAGGAAGGAAGAAATAAAATTGTCTTTTCCACAGATAACAGATAATATGATCATTTATGTAGAAAATCCAAACCACCGACAACAAAACAAAAAATCTACTGGAACTAATGGGTGATTACAGTAAGGCTGACAGACACAAAGTTAATATATGAAAGTCAATGATTTTACTCTGTAACAGGAATTAACAAGTAGAATTTGAAATAAAAAACCATGTTACAATTTATATCAACATCTCCCAAAAGTGAAATTCTTAGGTATAAGTTTAATAAAATAATTTACAATCTATGTGAGAAAACTTTAAAAGCTCTGGTGAAAAAAAATAAAACTAAATAAGTGAATAGATACTCCATACTCATATAGGAATGCCGCAGTCTGGCTGGGCACAAAATAACCCAGCCACCACAAAAACTTGTAGATTCCAACAGCAACTCTTTATTCCCAAACTCTCACCGGCACTCTACACGCACGTTCTGGGGAAAAAACACCCTCCACCAGGCTCTGCATACCAAATACCCTCTGAATCCCGGGAGAACTCAACRGGAACTCAAGGAGCGGATGCCTGAGGCAGCAGGATACGCCCTATTCCCAGCAGGATCCACCCTAAACCCAGATCCACCCTAAACCCGGATCTGCCATAATCCCTGAGCAAGGTCACCTTTCAAATCAAAACTCTAGGGGCTGGAGATGTGGCTCAAGCAGTAGCGCGCTCGCCTGGCATGCGTGCGGCCCGGGTTCAATCCTCAGTACCACATACAAACAAAGATGTTGTGTCCGCCAATAACTAAAAAAAAAAAAAATATAAAAAAAAATTCTAAAAAAAAAAAAAAAAACTCTCAAACATTCATTCAATGTCATTGCAAATGACCTGGGTCCAAGGCAAGCCCATTTCCACAATGGAGAGTCCTCCTTCTAAGCAACATTGGGTAGGCTGACAAGGAAATTGCCATGCGTCATTCCTACTTGGCTATGGCTCTCAGCATAGGAAGACTTAATTTTGTGAAGATGTCAATTCTTCCCAATTTGAGCTATAGATTCAATTCAATCTCAATCAAAATCACACTGTTATTTTGTGAACATCAACAAGCCAATTCTAAAGTTTATATTAAAAGGCAAAAAAATAGACAATTCAACACTGAAGGAGAAAAAGAAAGTTGGACAGCAAATACTACTTGACTTCAAGACATCAGTGAACAAAGTGATAAGTAGGTCAATGGAATAAAATAAGAAGTCCAGAAATAGGCCTACATAAATACAGTCAACTTATTTAAGCAATACAATTGAGCAAAGAGTCTTTAACAATGACATCTATGCTCCAAAAATGAATGTGGACACAGGCTTTGCTCTTTTCACAAAAATTAACCCAAGCTTGATTGTATACCTAAATGTAAAACTATGAAAGTCCTAGAAGAAAATAGGAGAAAACCTAGATTATCCTATGTTTTGTGATGACTACTTTATGTATAACACCAAAGACATGATTCATGAAAGAAAAAGGTCAAAACCTAAAGAAATAATTGATAAGTGGGACAAAATTTTTTTAAAAATTTCTGTGAGAGACACTGTCAAGAGGTTGAGAAGACAAGCTGGAGACTTCGAGTAAATATTTGCAAAATACATATTTCATAAAAGACTTATCTGAATTATACAGAGAGCACATAAAACTCATCAATAAGAAAACAATCAATCTGATTCAAAAATGGATAAAAGATCTGAACAGATCTGAATGGATAAAGATGGCAAATAAGCATAAGAAAAGATGCTCCACATCACTTGTCATCAGGAAAATGAATAAATACCATAGGTGCCATGAATTGTTCCCAAAGAACAAATATTTTGAGATAAAACTCCATAAACTTGAACAGTTCCCTCTGAAACATGTAGTCCTAGTTTTTTCTTTCTTTTTGTTGTTATTTTTCACATATGAGAGAACATTTGGTACTTGTCTGTGTCTGGCTTTTTTCCTTTAACATAATATCCCCCAATTTCATTCTTTTTGTGACAGGATTTCATTCTTTATGAAAGAATCCTCCATTTTGTATATATATGATACTTTCTTTACCCATTCATCTATTGATGGGCACCTAGGCTTGATTCCATATCTTAGCTATTGTGAATAGTGCTGCGAAATACCTTGGTATAGAGGTATCTCTTTGCTATGCTTTCATTTCCTTTGGATATTTACCCAGAAGTGGGATAATTGTATTTAATGTTCTTTCATATGGGGAAGCTAAAAAAAGTCAACTGAAAGTAGAATAATGATTATCAGGGTTTGGTAAATGCGAAGAGGGAAGATTATAGAAAAAGGAAGATTGGATTTGACCCATGCACACTGTGGGCATGTATGAAAATATCACACCAAACCCCATTAATATGTACAATTAATTTTAAAAATTGTTAAAAATTAATTTAATAAATTAATGTGTTAAAATGAAAAAATAAAAAGCAAAAAATTTTAATTTAAAAATAAATTGTGGACTTTGGAAAATTGTTTTAAAAATTAAAAGCTTAGTTTTTAACATTCTTGAAAACAGCTTTGTCTCAAATATGTCATGTAACTCTCAGGTATACTTTCATAACTCCTTTGTACATCTAATCTGCTTCACACAGCCACATCCACACCCTTTAAATAGATAACATACTGTACTCAATTACTATTTTAAATGGGAGTAATTTATTTCTATGAATATGATTTTAATAATTTTCCCTAAGCATTTAATAAACAAGGCTTTTTCCAAATCTAATTTATACATATGTATGTACATATATTACATAATTTTAATATTTCTGTAATTTAGTCTTTAACTTTGGAAGCAGTACCATAATACATCTTGATAGTGTTTAAAAGGGTTTTTAGGGAAATTAATTAAGTTTCTTGCAAATATAAATCAAGCTTGCTCCAGTTCTATAAGAACTCCACCACAGTCTTTAGGATGGAGAAAAATAACTGGTTTTCCATGTGCTCCTATTTTGACTTCTTCACTTAGAATACGGATCTTCTTTTTTTTCAAATCCATCATCACTGCATTTATATTATCCACCTTGARAAAAGAAATAAGAACATAAATAAGATCATAAATATAGCAAGTTATAGTATCATAAAGACTTAGAAACAACTTTGAGAACTTACACAGCATTATCTCCTCTATCTTTGGAAAAGACTATTCTTAAGCCACCACATGAAATGAAAGCAGGGTTAGGGTGTAGCTCAGTGGCACAGTGCTTGTCTAACATGCATGAGACTTTTGAGTTCAAGTCCCAGGATGGGAAAAAAATAATGAAAAATAAACTCAAACAGAGAACTAAATGAAGTTACTAAATCTTAGGTGAGCAATTGTAATGCCATAAAAACTCATTGTGGRTAAATGTTACCCGTTATAACTTAAATAGTATGTCCTTCTCTTTATCATAGTTTCTTCTGGAAGTAATATTGGTGATTTTGGACAAATTGTTTTTTCCTGAGAACCTTGTGTTCCTCAAACCAAGGAAATGAGGAGGCTGTAGTTTGGACCTTAAGTATCTTCCAAAGATCCACATGGTAAAAGTTTGAATCTTGGGGTAGTGCTATTGTGAGGTGGCAGAGCTTTTAGGAGATGGAAATTAGTGGGAAATCTTCGGGTAATTGGGAATGTACTCTTGAAGAGAACAGTGGGACCTCAATCCCTTCCTCTTCCTTTCTCTCTTTAGCTCCTTAGCCATGAGGTGAGCAGTTTTTCCACTGCCGTGTGTTTCCTGCCAGGACATGCTGCTTTGCCACAGGCCCAAAAGCATTGGGGCTAACCAACCATGAACTGAAACCTCAAAAACTGTGAGTCAGAATAAACCTTTTTTCTTTATAAAATTATTATTTCAGGTATTTATTTGATATAGTGATGGAAAGCTAACAATAGTCCTACCATATAAATTGACTATAGATTAAAATGAGATAACAGAGTTTTCCCTTCCCAAATTAATTGGTTATTAACTCTGAAATTTAAACTTGAAATACATAAAAATCATTATTAAACTGCTATCAAAATATAGGCTGGGGTTGTGGTTCAAGCGGTAGCGCCCTCGTCTGGCATGCGTGCAGCCTGGGTTCGATCCTCAGCACCACATACATACAAAGATGTTGTGTCAGACGAAAACTAAAAAAAAAAAATATTAAAAAATTCTCTCTCTCTCTCTCAAAAAAACTGCTATAAAAATGTTATTCTTATTCTAAAAAATCGAGAATTTTTTTATAATTTTGTAATTCTCTTCTAAATTATTTCTACTTGCTTCATATTTATTTGTAGTCTAGGAAATAATAAAGAAATGATCCTCCTCTATCTTGGAAAGTCAGCCTCTCAGACAGGGAACCTGGAAATGGGTTAAATGACCACATTCCCGGGCAGTCTGAACTCACCCTAGAATTCARTGACTTAATAGCATTCCAAATATCAAAAGTGGGGGTGTATGGAGGGGTAGCAGAAGATAATAGAAGACTGATTTCCCACCACACAGATCTAACATGTTAATATTTATGTAATCTTATTTCCAAAGAACCAAAGGTTGTATATTGTATGGTATATATACCACACAGATCTAACATGTTAATATTTATGTAATCTTATTTCCAAAGAACCAAAGGTTGTATATTGAATTCTAAAACTGACCAAACAACTAGTGAGAATACTAAATGTTACCATAAACTATGACTTCTTCATATGATATACATTCTACTTGTATTCCTATAATGTTTTAAAACTCCTAGTCATGCCTACATTATGACTATGTTCATTTCATGTTAATTTGTATGGTAGCTGCTCTATTCTCATTTTTTTCTAAAAAGAACATGCATGAGCTGGTTGAGTGAGTGGCCACACCCACTGAATCATTCTTCGGAAAATTAGTTCTCACCAAAGTCAGGCATTGTCAATTTTATTTTTTAAAATAGTTTTTTAGTTATAGGTAGACAAAATACCTTTGTTTTATTTTTTTTAATTTTTTTTTAGTTATACACGGTCACAATATCTTTATTTTATTTATTTTTATGTGGTGCTGAGGATCGAACCCAGGGTCTCACACGTGTGAGACGAGCACTCTACCATCGAGCCACAACCCCAGTCCCACCTTTATTTTATTTATTTACATGAGGTGCTCAGGATTGAACCCAGTACTTCACACGTGTTAGGTAAGTGCTCAACGGCTGAGACACAACCTCAGCCCTTTACCATATTTTTAAAAATTTCTATAAATATTGTTGAGCTTTGTTCTGATTGTTAGATGGAATTGGAACAGTCTCTAGTCTAGACTAATTTCTCTTATTCCTGAAAGCACTTTTGAATACTCTACCCACTGCCCCCATGTATTTCAAGGTTTTTCCACTATGACTGGCAAGAACAAACCACTTCACCTCTGTGTGATGTTTGTTCCCTCTGATCCTTTCAGAGGGCTCTGCGTTCAGCAACAGGTAGCTTCCTAACATGCATCCCTACCTGATTCTCAGATGRCAATGTGAAAGGCTATATATCTCTGGGGCATCTATGAAGCTCTCTCCTTTTAGCACATTACATTATCAACTCCAAGAACCAAGCACGAAGAACCAAGGCTTCCTCAGACTCCCAACTTCTAGGTTCTCAGTTTGGCAAAACTGTGAAGTTCCACTGGATTCCCCTGTCCTGCAAGGAAGACTTGGAAACTCTTCAGCCATATCTGGTTGAGAAATTGCAAGCGTCCTTTTATTTGCTTCCCCTCTCTCAGGGGATTAGCTTTCTTTGCTGCTTGACATTCAATGCCAGACAACCACTCTTTGGTATACTTTGTTTACACTGTTTCAAGGAGGAGGATAAACTGCTCTCTGTTATTCCACCTTAGCTGAAATTAGAATTCTAAATTGTAGGGATTTTTGGTTATTACTTAACTAGTGTTAATACATGTTATTCTATAATTTTTGTGTCTTTTTTCTGATTGCTTAAATGATTTGACCTTCATCCTGGTTTTCAGCTTGATGATGGTATGCTTAAGTTTTTTGTTTTATTGCATTTGTCCTACTTGGGGTTGCTGAGCTTAATGAATGTATGGGTTGATATCTTACATCAGATTGGTAATGTCCTTGTTGACTATTCAATTATTGCTTCTATTTTATTTTTCTCTTGCCTTCCTTTCCAGGACTCCACCCTGTGCTAGAACTTTTGACCACATTCTTCATCTCTCTTATGCTCTCTCTTTTCTTTTCCTTTCATAGTGTTTTACCCTGCCCCACCCCTCTCCATATTTTTTGCCTCTTGATTTTTGGACTTCTAGCCTAGAGGATAGGCTAGAACCATGAGAGGATAAATTTTTGTTATGCTAAGCTGCTGAGTTTGTGGTGATTCTTTACAAGAGACGAACTCTAGATAGGGCAGAGGGGTTGGAGGGGCAGGGAGATGGCATGGGGTTATTAATGATGGTGGAATGTGATAATCATTATTATCCAAAGTACAGGTATGAAGACATGAATTGGTATGAATATACTGTGTATACAACCAGAGATATGAAAAATTGTGCTCTATATGTGTAATAAGAATTGTATGGGCTGGGGTTGTGGCTCAGCAGTAGAGCGCTCGCCTAGCACTTACAAGGCCCTGGGTTCGATCCTCAGCACCACATAAAAAATAAACAAACAAATAAAATAAAGATATTAAAAATTTGGGCTGGGGATGTGGCTCAAGTGGTAGCGCACTTGCCTGGCATGTGTAGGGCACTGGGTTCGATCCTCAGCACCACATAAAAATAAAATAAAGATGTTGTGTCCACCAAAAACTATAAAATAAGTATTAAAAAATTCTCTCTCTCTCAAAAAAAGAATTGTAATGCATTCTGCTGTCATATATAAATAAGAAAGTAAAAAAAAAGAACTCCAGGAAACTCATACAATAACTATATATGTGTACTGAAACTGAATAATTAAGGACACTAATATGACTCTACATTGTGTACAACCAGGGAATTGTAATGTTGTGCTCTATTTGTGTACAATGAATTGATATGCATTCTGCTGCCATGTATAACTAAGTAAAACAAACAAACAAAAAAATAATACTAATATCAGATGGTGAGTGCCAAGTTTTTCATATATACATACCCAAGTTGGGATTYGGAGCTATGTAGAGAAGCAAGGGAAAGGTCAGAGTGATTCAAGTGATAGAGTTAGAGACATCAGTGTAAATTCATGAGCTTATGTTATTTTGTGAGCCCAACATAGTTTACATATAGAAATATTTACACATAAGTTTAAACGTACAGTATATAAACACATATTTCCTTTCTGTGTTACTTCAAAAGGCCTAGACCAAAGATACACCAGCAGCAATGAGCACACCTAGAGAGCCCATCTTGGTTTCTAACACCATTTTCCAGTAATAAGAACCAAAGCTTCTTAGAGAAACAACTGGTTCTAGAATTAGGGTAAGGAATATGAGTCTGGAGAACCTTGTCCCAGGAAATAAGGAAATTCTCAAAAAAAAAAAAAATCATAGGGTATGCCAAAGGGACACAAGTGCCAAACAAAAGAGTTTTTCAATGGTCAAAGCTAAAATGATTTGAGGGATAAAGTATAAAATAAATATCCACAAGCACATAWTGATACAACTATCTACTCCTGAAGTGTGGACATCCCATAATGACCTCCTTCCAAAGAGTACAGTATGAAAGAGAAAGGAAAAAAAAGTAACTTTACAGTGAAGACATCTGACAATACCGCCTCAATTAGGAGATGAGGGTTCATATCAACAGTGACAAGTCATGTTGATAGGATTTGTCCTGATAGGATGTGATGATAATGGTACTTCATCTCTGTGGTCTTCCTTCCCAGAATAACCTCATTTAATCAGAAGAAAAAAATACAAATATCAAGTGGGGGATAGTTTACAAAATATCTGGCCAGAAATCCTCAAGAGTATCTAGGTCATCAAAACATGGAAAGTCTGAGAAAGAGGAGACATGATTATGTGATGTGTGATCCTGGAGGGGATTCTGGAACAGAAAAAGGATGCTGGAAAGAAGAATGAAATTGTGGCATTTGCTGGAAAATGGATGG